AAGTATGGCCCTGCTGGGACCCCTGATGACCACGACCTGAAGATGCCCCACGATACTCAGGACGGGCCTACTGAGCAGTCCTGAAAGAATAACCTCTACCATGCTGGGACTGGCCCCTCGACGGAGCTCCACTATAACTGCGCGATCCTCGAGGCCTCTTGGTCTCTCTTTCCTCTCACTCCCTATAGCGAACCGTCTCAATCTCACGAGCGATATCAACCACCTCCTCGAACGTAGCACCCAATAGTTTCTCTTTAGTCATCAAAATATGGAGATGGTAGTTAAGGCCATTCACAAATCTCCTGATCCTCTCACGATCTGTCAGAATCATCCAAATGGCATGACGAGCCAACTCAGAAAATCTCATCTCATACTGGGTCACGGTCATACCCCCTGCATCAACCACTCAAATTGCCTACGCAGCTCCTCTCTACGGGACTGCGGTACATACTTCTCTAAGAAGAGAGCGGAGAACTGCTGCCAAGAAAGGGGTACTGCACCAACAGGCCTATGCCTCTCAAAATCCTCCCACCAAGTAAAGGTATCCCCCGAGAACTGAAAGGCGGTAAATGCTACACCACTAGACTCAAGGATCCCTACTATACGGAGCATCCGCTGACACTTGTCAAGAAAACCCTGGGCATCCTCGCCCTCAGTACCACTGAATGACGGAGGCTGGAGTCTACCAAACCTCTCAAGATAACGCTACTCATCATCCGGCATAACCGGTACCATGAACTCCTGAACTGGTGCAATCGGCTGAGCTGGAGATGCCCCCGACATATGTAGTCCCTGTACTACCTGCTCAGGTGTGCGAGCAACGGGGGTCTGATTGCCTCCCCCGGCCTGTGAAGTAGCTGCTGCGAAAGTGGCTGAAACTGCCTGAGACAGGCCAGTGCAAACTGATAAGATCTGTGCCAAGGCCTCCTAAAGACCCGGAATCACGATGGGCACAGCTGGTGCCTAAACTGGTGCTGTTGGAGACTGATCTGGAGCTGGGGTAGCTGGGGGATCAATAGGTGCTGCCCTCGCTGCTCTGCCTCTGCCACGTCCACGACCGCGTCCCCGACCTCTGGTGGCCTCAGTGGGTGGCACTGGTGGTCGTCCACCTCGTCTGGTAGCTCGCGTCCTCACCATCTATGAGAGAATGGAATAACAAAAGTTTTTTTCTCGAATCAACAAAGTCGCACGATAAGAGTTTCAAGAATATGAAGTTTTTCCTAAAGGTTCTGCAGCCTCTCGAGGATAAATACGGACATCTCCGTACCGATCCGTGAGAGTCTACTAAACCGGCTCATGACTTGCGAGACCTATGTAACCTAGGCTCCAATACCAACTTGTCACGACCCCAACCCCGGTCGTGATGGCGCCCAACACACTGCTAGGTAAGTCTGACAAATTAACAACCTCAACCCATTTTTTATATACTTCATCATTAACTAACACAGTTCAATTACCAAAACACCATATTAAAAGTTTGAAACCAGAGTTAAATAGGCGGAGTTTCAAATGATAAAACTACTACTACATAGCCCATATAGATCCGGTGTCACAAGTCTGAGCCTCTAATACCAGTTTATCACCCTAATACATATCAATCTAGGGAATGCAGATAAAACAAAAGGATAGAAAAGACAGATCAGGGTTGTCGACTCCATGCAGCTACCTCGATGCTCCCGAATATGCGTTGCTCAACTAAAAATCCTCACTCAACCTCAGATGCACCTGGATCTGCACGCATGGTGCATGGAGTAATGTGAGTACTCCGACCCAGTGAGTAGTAAGCATAAATAATGACTGAGAATAAGAAATCATGGAGAAACACAGAGTAATCTATAATGCGGCATTTTAAACAAGTAATATGAAAGGAATAAACCAATGGAAACGAAATATGGAAATGCTACAACAAATAAGCATTTAAGTGACAGACATATAAAGAAAATCAACATATAGAACGGTACCCTATAGTACCCGCTGCAGCGTGAAGCCCGATCTATACATTTATTATCGATGGCGCTCACTGGGGGTGTGCAGACTCTGGGAGGGGCCCCTTACGGCCCAAGCGCAATATCAAGCCATCTCGTGGCATCAAATCTAGGCTCTCGGCCTTATATCAATATCAGTATAAAACTGCTGCGGCGCGCAGCCCGATCCCATAGTATCCTCACATCTGGCCCTTGGTCGTGCTCAGTCCAGAAAATTATATAAGCCCCTCGGGCATTAGTAAAATGGTAGTTCTCAGGCCAAAACATCATTTAATATATCATTTTTGTTTCAAAATCGAGTAAAAAGTGGCTGAGTTATAAAATAGTGGAAAAACGGTACGACTGAGTTCAAGTAGTAAGTCAAAACAGTGAGGAAATAGTGATAAAATCCCCGGAGGGTTCAAATAGTTGGCACGAAGCCCAAGTATGGCAATCAGTCCAAAAAATGATGATAACAAATAAGCTTCAATCAAAATGCGCGGTAAAAGCATCACTCGGGACGGACCAAGTCACAATCCCCAATAGTACACGACCCCACTCTCATCATCAAGCGCGTGTCTCACCTCAATATAGCACTACGATGTGCAAATCTGGGGTTTCAAACCCTCAAGACATCATTTACATTCATTACTCACCTCGAACCGGCTAAATCTCTATCTCGCGACGCCTTTTCGCCTGAAATTGGCCTCCACGCGCGTCGAATCTATCCAAAATCAGAACGTATACATCACAATAGGATAAGGGAACAAAGCCCAAGCGAAAACAATCGAATTACCACAAAATTCTAAAATTTGGTCAAACCCGACCCCCGGGCCCGCATCTCGGAATTTGACAAAATTCATAAAACTCGAATCCTTATACTCTCGCGAGTCTAACCATATGAAAATGATCCAATTCCGATACCATTTGGTCCTTCAAATCATCATTTTACATTTTTGAAAGACTTCACAAATTTCTTTCCAAATTCCATCTCAAATCACGAATTAAATGATGAATTCAATGATAGATTCATGTACTCTAGCCAAATCTAAGTTAGAATCACTTACCCCAATGAATTTCTTAAAAAACCTTCGAAAAATCGCCAAAATTCGAGCTCTGTAGGTCAAAATATCAAATAAAACCCAAAACCTCGTATTTATAGAGTACCCCTCAAATATCAGCCTCCGCGGTCCGCACAGAACCACCGCGGTCCGCGCTAAAGCACTGCGGTCCGCACAAAACCACCGCGGCCGCACTTCATTTTGTGCGGTCCGCACAGCAGATACCGCAGCCGCACTCCTTTTTGTGCGGTCCGCCCGGGGGAGTTCTGAGGCTTGCAACCCTTCTCGACCTGCTACAGCTATGATTTTCGGCCTAAAACATCTCGGAACCTACCCGAAACTTCAAACCAATTGTACCAACACATCCCATGACATCGTTCAAACTTGTTCAAAACCTCGGGACGCTCACAACAACATCAAATCACCAATTTAACAGGGGATTCAAGCCTAAGAACTCCAAGAATTCTTAAATTATGTTTTCGATCAAAAAGTCTATCAAATCTCGTCTGAATGACCTAAAACTTTTGCACACACATCCCAAATGACACAACGAAGCTACTGTCACTCTCGGAATTCCATTCCGACCCCTATATCAAAATCTCGCCTATCAACCGGAACCGCCAAAATATCAACTTCGCCAATTTAAGCCTAAATCTTCTCTACAACTCCAAAACCCATTTCGATCGCGCTCCTAAGTCACAAATCACCTCCCGAAGCTAACCGAACCATCAGAACTCACTTCCGAACCTTCTAACACATAAGTCAACATCCGGTTGACTTTTCTAACTTAAGCCTTCTTAAAAGAGACTAAGTGTCTCATTTCTTACCAAATCCTCTCCGAACTCAAACTAATAACCAGATCACATAAAACACGGATAACGAAGTGTAAAGAAGCTAAAATAGGGGAAAACAGAGCGGTAACTCATGAGACGATTGGTCGGGTCGTCACACCAAACACAACGAAGTAAATAACTACTACTCCTTTCATTTCAATTTATGTGAACCCATTTGATTTAGCACGGAATTTAAGAAAAGAGAGAATACTTTTGAGCTTGTGGTGTAAAATGAGGCATATATATTTTGTGTGGTTATAAATCATTGCATAAAGGTAATTGTTTCCAAATAAAGAAATAGGTCATTCTTTTTGGCACAAACCAAAAAAGAAATAAGTTCACAAGTTGAAACGGAGTTAGTACTATATAATATGGTCAAAGATTTTCAAGTTAGTTATATAGACCGCTCGTATTAATTTTTTTACACCATATCATATCGCATTTACGTGTTATAGCAGGTAAATCATTTATGTATAGGTAAAGCAATATATACCAGGAGATCCTCTATATATATGTTAGTGATTATTGTAGATTAACATAATGAGTATGTATACAAAAGGAAGGAAGAGTCGGTGGAATGGTAGGATTTGTACGTGTTTCTAGAATTTGATAACAGTACATGAAAGGAATATGATGGATAGCTATGGGTTAATCCAGTCAAGTATTATTAGCTCAAGTAATATTCAATAGCCATGTAGATTCATGTCATGTGGACCATAAAATGATTAATGGTTGAGATCTATTTAACTTTTATACTAATTAAAAAAAAAACTAAAATGGTAGAAGTTTGCCTAACTCCACCGTTAAAAATTAACCCAAGGTTATATTCTCACTTTTTTCCCCTTTTAATACATCAAAATATGCCTTTTACTTTTAGCAAAATAAGATAGTATTCAACTTTAACTTAATCCTAGTTCATAAAATATTTGAAAGATTGCAAAAGTTCCAAATGAGCGTAGGTAACATTGACTTGTATTGATGCTACTGAATGTTTACGAAACTGTATGTGGAAAAATAAGATAAAGTTCCTCTATACGTCCAATCAAATTTACTATAAGCAATACTTCACTTAATTTCATTTCTAAAATATCCAGTATATCAAATATTCGAAAAAATCAATATGAAATAAAAACTGGCATAGATCATAATGTATTGTTATCTTGGAACTTTTGTGATCCCCGACTCTCGAAAAGGTTTGCCTGCAAGACGTAAACAATTTTGAAATATTAATAGCTAATTTTTACATTAAAAATAAAAATAAAAACATCATCTAATAGGTACCTGATCATGAAAAAATAAATAAGACTTTTGTACATGTGCAAAAGTATCAAGACTAAAAGGTTCCTGCACAAATATAAATAATGAAGTTAATTGAAAGCAAATCATAAGTTTTACTTCGATTAAATAAATTGTTATATTACCGTTAGCATTTGAGTAAAGTTAGGGTATGGCAACGAAAGAGAAAACTCTGAACTGTGGGATAAGCTAGCACAAGTTATAGTCTGAGAGGTACTTAAATCAGAATTCTCATAAATATTTCCCTTTGATATTGGATTCTACCAATTAATAAAAACATTAGTGTAATAAATTAAATATTATAAGAAATGATACATATGAGCTACTCTAATAGTTGAAAAATAAAATGTGATATACCTGAATGAAATATTTGTCATTATCAGATAGAGCTCTATCATCGACTCTTGGTCCATCCTGTTTAGCGGAACTTGACTTGTTTCCTCGAGCTTTCTTGCAATTTGCGTTCACCTCGAGGGAAGGTTTGATCCTCTTTTTATGGCGTTTTCCATCTTTCTTTTTTAAATTTTTGGCTCGTGTGAGGATAATTATGTTATTATTTTCTTCTGGTAAATCTCTTGTTGAACCACTAGTACAAAAAGATGGAGTTGATACCTCTGCGATTTGCTTCAATTTTGAACTTAGCTCATTTGCACATGCTACTACTACCTTATAGCCGTCATCTGTTTTAGAAGTTTTTGCTACCATTCTAACAAATATAGGACAAAGAACTCTATAACGATTCATAGTAATCAACTTTGGATCCTTGATCTCTATTTCTTGCTCATCAACTTCTTTAATATTTACGCCTTTTGCATTTTTTGTCCATCTATCCAAAATATGCTCAGTCGGAATTCTACTAACTCCTTTTACTACATCGAGAACTCTTATTGCATCGCAACAAAGTATACCCATGGACTCAAACTTCAAGCAAGTATAAGATATATGGCCTACCTCTGTCACCGTAACAATATATTCTCGAGTATGCCCATGTTTACTAACATTGTAAATGGTGGACAAAATGTTCTTCCCACATCCAATATTCACTTTGATTGATAAGGATTTCATATATTCATCTTGAAATTTTGCAAAAATATTTGAGGTGTAGACCTCTCTAGCATGAATCAAAATAGGAACTTGTGCTTTTAATACTAGAATATGTTGTGATGCATCACAAGTATCTTGCAGCTCATTATATCGCTTATCCTCAATTGCTCGATCATAATACTTAAAAAATTGTACTAAATTGTAATCAGACTGCAAGTAATCCTTTAAATCACCATTCAAACTCTCACTCAATTGTGTGTTGTTCATACCACCCGATTTATTTTCCATATGCTGCAAATAATTTTTCCCTTAATGTATATATTCCTTGCAACCATTCATTTTCATGAAGGTTATATTCATCAAGAATTGTATTCCAAGAATCTATAAATTCTACTTCATCTTCATACTCATAAATGCATTTTCGAAAATCACCACGGAATGAAGCGTACCTTTTATAAATTTGTTTGAGATGTTTAGCTGCATTTTGCTCCATGTGCCAGACACATAACCTGTGATAAACTTCAGGCATGACAAGTGAGATGGCCTTACTTATTGCAGCATCTTGATCTGTAAAAATTATTTTTGGATTTTTTTCAGACATCGCTCCAAGAAACGTTTCAAACAACCACTGAAAGAAATCTGCAGTCTCATCATACATTAAAGCGCCTTCGAAAACAACCATTTTTCTATGGTTGTTCAATCCAACGAAACTTGCCAAAGGTTTGTGCTCTCTATTCGTCTGGTAAGTGGTATCGAATGAGAGCACATGTCCAAAAGTATCATAGTCTATTATCATCTTTTAATCGGTCCAAAATATATTTGTGATCATATCATCAACATCCAATTGCACCGCAAAAAATAAAGATGGATCTTCAATTCTTTTCTTCTCAAAATACTTTAACAGTACTCCTGGACGAAATAAGAAAAAAAAGGTTACATTATACTTTATACTTTAGTGGGCCATATTAGAAAATTATATTAAGAAGTCTAATAGAAATAAGAAATGATAATATATTTCTTATAGACATAGTATGTTAGTTTATTTACCTGTTTCTCCTCGTCTCATAGCCTTTTGTCGTTTTGTTCGAAGGTAGTTCTTCTGATTTAATTTGGTATAACCCAAATTTACTCGACCTCCATCTTGAAGACTCATAAAATCAAATGTTGTTTTAGAAAATAATCCAGCATCCTCTGCTAAATCTATTTCATGAGCCTGGACTTCGTTTATCCTTCGGTGAGATGGCAACATATGAACCATTGTTGGTGAAACAAGTGCATGATTATGTTCCAATTTAACTTTAGTAATATGGTACTTTCCCATTGAGTGGCGGGTAACAATAATATGAGCTTGATATCCTGTTCGCGTTTCTCTTCGTAATTTTTTAACTTGATCTTTTCGTTTATCATCTCTACGAAAACCTTCCTTGAAACATGTAATCTTCCGTGATGTTACATAACCCAATTCTTTATTTGTATTGATGTATTCTTTGCGAACACTAAAACCAACTCTTCTTGCATACTCATTATAATAATTAAGTGCATCCTTGTCACTATCAAACTCAAGGCCAAGTTTCGGTTCATAATCTACTGTACCTTGAGAATTACTTTGTAAAACTTCTTCAGGAGAATTTTCGCACATTCTTTTCCGAAATTCTCAACTCTATTAAAAAAAATCAAACTTAAAACATTATGGAGTTCTGAATAATAATTCAAACGTAAAAAGGTACAAACTTATTAATACCATCATAAATTAAATAATCATAATGGAACTTTCTTTTATTTGCAGCTTGTCAGATGAGGCATATGGATGAAAACAATCAAAAATATACGAACTAATCAAACTTAAAATAAAAAAACACAATTAAATTTAACAAGACCAAACAATAACTAATATTATAAGAAAAGGTAGAGAATAAAACCTTGTATTTCAAGAGATTCACTGTTTGTTGTTGACGATAGCAACAATGAAACTTTTGGGTTTCTTAGGAAAAGAAATAAGATCAGATACTTGTAAAAGATGAATACATATCTTTTAATGATATGTATAATCTTTCCAAAGGTGAAAAGGTTCTTTTGGCGGGTAAATAAATCGGGTAGATGATTCTCGCTATCTTTAATTGCCTTTCTTGATAAAATTCAGTTGAATACTATTTTATTTTGCTAAAGGTAAAAGACATATTTTGATGTATTAAAAGGGGGGGGGGGGGGGGGNGGGGAAAGTGAGAATGTAACCTTGGGTTAATTCTTAACGGTGGAGTTAGGCAATCTACATGGCTATTGAATATTACTTGAGCTAATAATACTTGACTGGATCTTTTTCCGGACAGAATATGTTGATGGGTTGTTTTATCAAATCAATCTATGTTAGCTTATTTTTTCCAAATTTCATTTAGGTGATACAGTGCAGCATTACGGCCTATTAATTGTTAGAAAATGATAATAAACAAAATTGGCTTTGAGGCGTGAAAATCGACTGTCCTTAAAGAGTTATCGCCTGTATACTAATTTAGGGAAAATACAAAACGATTCTCTTCAGGATACAACAAAGCCTGCAGTAATACTTGTGATTTTCTATATCCACTTCGTTGGAATTCTTGTGTATTTATAGGCAACCAACAGACCCTTTCAGAAAGGATGTTTTGTTTCACAAACAGACACGACTATTTATTGGAATTTTGAATTTAAAATTCAAATAAATTTGATTTTACTGTTAAAAATAATTAACTCTAGGATCTCGTGCCTGTTGAGTCAATCTCGTGCCTGAGACAATCTTGTTCCTGTTGAGTCAGTCTCGTGCCTGTTGAGACAATCTCGTGCCTGTTGAGTCAGTCTCGTGCCTGTTGAGACAAACTCGTGCATGTTATGTGCTATTTCATAATGATCAGTTCCGAGGCTAACAGACACGGTACGAGTAAGGTCGGTCCCGAGAGTGTTTCACATGACAGGCACTGAACTTCTTTCTTCCGATGTGGGAAGAATCCCACTTCCAACTTGCCAATAACAAACTATCTTACAATCCCCCACTAGTTTGTTATTTCGCTTCATAACACTTGTGAATAATTGAAAGTACCTTTTACAGATTTGAACTTTCCTTTAGTGTAAGTATATTAAAGTTTTGACGAAGTTAATGGTATCTTAAGATTTGAACCACAAATCCTTGTGCCAAAACCGAAAGTACCACACACACAGTGTTATCTAGTAGCTTAGAAAATCCAGTATTCGCTTTAGCACGTTTACGGCCATGTGCTCATCCTGAATTCATGAATATTTACAAGATCAACCCTTTAAATCTTGCTAGAAGCGGCACCACTTCAATATTCATATAGGTGGAATTAGTTACTATGTCCCTGTTACTCCAGACATTAATAATTCCATTAAGATTAATCAACCTCTTCATGTAACAGTATGCACTTTGGAGTTTGTCTTTATGCCCCTGTTATAACAAGCATTTAACAACTCCTTAACTCCTCATATAACAGTAAGTAGTACATTAGAATTAGGGCTCCTAAAGAGGAGATCAGTGCTTAAACAATACAAGTAACTTGTTATTACCCATTGAACTTATATTGTTAGAGTGTATACTAACTCAAAGTGGGGTTCCTATTCCTTGTATTTAATTTAAGGGTCTCAGCCCCATCCCTCCACAAGTTTGTTGTACTACATCTCTACCTAATGGCTTCGTAAGTGGATCAGCCAAATTCTTATTTGATCTCACATATATTATAGCTATAGCTCCATTTGTAATTAATTCTCTTATATAAGCATGTCTCAAGCTTATATGTCTCGATTTCCCATTATATATTTTATTGTGAGCAACACACATTGTAGTCCCACTATCACAGAATATGGAAATGGCTGGCATAGGTTGTGGCCGCAACTTTATATCAAGTAACATATTCCTCAACCATTCTGCTTCTTTTCCAGCAGCTGTTAATGGAATAAATTCAGATTCCATAGTAGAATGGGAAATACATGTTTGTTTCTTGGATGCCCAACTAATGGCTCCACCGCCTAGAGTAAATATCCATCCTGATATAGATTTATTATCATTAACACTTGTAATCCAATTTGCATCAGAATGTTCCTCTAATACATTAGGAAAACCATTATAGCAAATGCCTAAGTGCTTTGTATATTTTAAATATC